CGGCGTGGCCCCAGCTGCTCCGTCCGTCGCCCGGTGCCCACCCCGTCCTCCCTCTGTGGCTGCGCCCTTTGCCCGTCTCCGCCCGCATCTCCCCAACTCCACCTGCGACCCCGCGACTCTCGCCGCGACTCCCGCTCCCACGCTCTGACCGTGCCCTTCGCTTCCGTCCCAGCCGCCTGATCATGGCCTGCGTCCCCCAGTCTCTGCTTCCTGTCTCCCCGTCTCCCCGCCGTGTCCGCATCTCTACTCGCGTCCCTCCTGAATCTCCCCGTGTCTCCTCCCTGCGTCTCATCTCTGTCCCATGTCCCCCTTCTCTGCCCCTGTGTCTCCCCATCTCCACCCCCGTGTCCCCCATCATTGCCCCCTGCATGTCCCCCTCTTTCCCCCCCCACTGGGTCTCCCATCTCCATCCCCGTGTCCCCCATCTCTGTCCCCTGCATCTCCTTGTCTCTCCCCAGTGTCCCCGATATCTGTCCTGTGTCCCACATCTCTACCCCCTGCGTCTCCCCATCACCCCTGCGCCCCTCGTCTCTGCCCCATGTCTCTGTCTCTCCCCCGTATCTCCCTGTCTCTGCCCTGTCTGTCTCTGCCCCTGCATTTCCCCATCTGCACCCCCGTGTCCCCCATCTCTACCCCCGCATCTCCTTGTCTCTCCCCGTGTCCCCCGACTCTCCCCGTGTCCCCCGACTCTCCCCCATGCCGCCCCTACCCTGGAGAAGGCCAGCAGGAAGTCCATGCGGTGGGTGGGCCCCAAGCAGTGCCGCAGGCGCCAGTAGACCAGGTGCTCCCAGGCGAAGACCAGCAGGGACAGGCCCATGGCCACGAGCAGCATGTAGAAGACGCCCGCCATGTTGTCGACGTCCAGTTTGCTGCTCATCACCTCGATCTTGTCGTTGTGGCAGATGCCCGAGAGCCACAGCCGCTCCAACATCTCGATCTCATCTGGGGGCAAGGTTCGAGGTCACGGGCCAGCACCCTCCCCTGCCACGCTCCAGGCCCTGCCCCCGACCCCGGTGTCCCCGCCCCCAGCTCCTCCTTCCCCACGCCATCCAGGAACCCCTGTGCTTGGCCACACCGTCCCCCAGGAACTGCAGCAGCGCCAGGTCGATGGGCCGCTTCCAGCGGGAGCCCTTGTGCAGCGCGATGCCGTAGCCCGTGGTGGCGAAGACCTTGCCGGAACCGATGGTGACCAACTTGCAGCCCTCGTCCTTGCGGGCCATGTAGTTGAGCACGGCCGCGTCATAGATGAAGGCGTCCAGCTTTCTGCGGGGTGGGAGGTGCAAAAGGTGGGTCATTCTGGCCCCGCCCAGAACCTCCCCTCCCCATCCCCCAGCCCCAACTTCCAGATGCTCACTTCCTACCTAGCCCCGCACTCTTGACCAAGTTACTGCTCCTTAGTGTCTCTGTTTCAACATCTGTAAAATGGGGATAGCAGCATTTCTCTTCCACGCTTGTTGCAAAAGTCAGATAGGGCCTGGTACATAACACTTAACCAAAAACCACAACCAAACGCACTGCCGCTGAGACCATTCGAGCTCACAGCGCCCCTAGAGGACAGAGTGGAACTGCACCACAGGGTCTCCAAGGCCGTCAGTCTTTACAGAAGCAAAGCCCAAACCACACCACTGCCGTGGAGTCCATTCCGACTCACAGCGCCCCTAGAGGACAGAGTGGAACTGCACCATAGGGTCTCCAAGGCTGTCAATCTTTATGGAAGCAAAGCCCAAACCAAACCCACTGCTGTGGAGTCGATTCCAGCTCACAGCGCCCCTAGAGGACAGAGTGGAACTGCACCATAGGGTTTCCAAGGCTGTCAATCTTTTCAGAAGCTGACTACGTCATCTTTCTTTCGCAGAGTGGCTGGTGGGTTCGAACTGGTTATGTTTGGGTTATCAGCCCAATGCTTTAACCACAATCCTACAGGCGATGCTTCCCAAGCAATACTCGGCAGTGCTGGAGAACTCTGAACTGTCCCTATTAATCATTACAATTCATCCTCACCATAGCTGGGAAGTTCCAGCACGTGGGTGACCCTGCCAGGATTTGAACTACCCACAGTAGCGCTTCCATCACAGCAGTCACCCCCGTAGGACACACTGACGGACGGGGTTGGGGCAAGCTCTGGAGTATGAGAATCCTGGGAGTCCCTGCCCGTTCTGTGGCTGGAGGACAGGGCTGAGATTCATCTTCTAGAGCTCCAAACGGGCAGGGAGAGCCCAGCTGACATATGGACACAGATATACGGGCAGCTGAAGTACTGCAGCTGCGTGTGGCCTCTACTGCCTCACAGGCAGACTGTAATTTTCTCTCCCGATTTTTCTTTGTTTAGGAAAATGCCCTGGGTGGCATATGGTGCATTACTCCAAGTGGTTTAGTGAAAAGACTGGAACTTCTAGATTCAGACTGAAAAGGAGGGATTAAGGGACTGGGAACTACCATCAGGTGGAAGAGGGTTGAGGGGGTCCTTGGGGACATTGAAGGAGCCCTCATGGTGCAGTG